GCTCAGTGAGGCAGGCATACTTATTTCTTCCATTTTCAAAAAAGGAAACTCAGGTTCAGAAAGGTCAAATAACTACGTAGACCAACGTCACACATCTGGGAACAGAGGGCAGGGTGGAATTCAAACCCGGACAGGCTGACCTGAAAGTCCATGGCGTTAGCAGTATAAGGTAATACAGGATCATGTCTGTCTTAATATTCTTCCTAAATGCTATAATGACAATACAGTATATATGATGTGTGTATTAATTAATATATGTAATTAATTACATACCTACTAGCACATACCCTTGAGTGGAGATTCTATATTTATCTGTATTTAGATACTTGGCTAACACTGAAATAATCATCTTTTTCCTACCAATAAGACCCCCTCCAAGGTTCCTTGTCTCTTTCATTCACTTATCCATTCACTTAAATAGCACACACTTACATAAAAACATAAGTAGGCAGAATTTTTTTTGGATGACAAAACTATGCATAACACCCTTTTTTGTTCCAAAAAAGGATTAAGGCAGTTTATAAGAAGACATAAAATACACTAAAAGTAACAATAGACAAAGGACGAACGAAACCGATTTAGCTCAGAGGTAGAGCATTGGTCTGCGGACTGAAAGATCACAAGTTCGATTCCGGTCAAGGGCATGTACATTGGTTGAGGGCACATCCCCGGTAGGGGGTGAACAAGAGGCAGCTGGTCGATGTTTCTCTCTCATCGATGTTTCTAGCTCTCTATCCCTCTCTCCTCCTCTCTGTAAAAAAATCAATAAAATATGTTTTTTTTTTTTAAAAAAAAAACAATAGACAAAGGACGAATTACTGGTCAATATAAGCCTACTGGAGGGTTTTCATGTGAATTTCCTTCGAAGTCACACATCTTACAATGGGATGCCAATGAACTACCTGTTTGCATTAATTACCTCCTTGAAAGCAAATTTTAATTACTCTCTAATTATAGTCTCCTTAAGGTACAAACTAATTCCTCAAGGAAAGCACACCTTCTGAGAGAAAATAACGTCTCCCCAGGTCCTCCTAGTCGACATGTGTGATGGAATGAACTGTGTTCACCACAGCACCCTTAGGACAGCCCAGGATGGGATTTCACCACCTGTTTCTGACAACGTCTCCATAAAGGCCAAGGGCCTAGTGATGGTCATTCCAAAATGCACGATGAGACCAGTGATCTGAGTACCAGTGGACATGGGCTCTGAGCGCCATGTCCTCTGGCTGTGGCGTCAGGGACACACCTGCCTGGAACGAGGTGATCCAGAACAGGGGTGCTCGGTTCAAACCGCATGTGGGCCACTTGGTGTTCAGCTCTCCCGGGGCGGAGCCCACCCCAAGCACTCCAGCTCTCCAGAGCCGGGCTTTCCTTTGCAGAATTTGGCCCGTAGCATTGGCAACGTCACACGGCCCTAATGTGTATGTGCGCTTATAAATTTAAACACTCCCAGAGCAGGAACCACAACTATCTCATGATTCTCTTTATTCCCATGCTATAGATGGAATGTTCGCACCCCGCCCAAATTCATATGTTGAAATCCTAACCCACAAGGTGATGGAATTAAGAGGTGGGGGGCGAGAAGGGGAGGGCTTTGGGAACTGATTAGGTCATGAGGGTGGAGCCTTCATTATGGGATTAGCGCCCTTATAAAGGAGAACCCCTGAGAGACCCCTTGCCCCTTCTACCACGCAGTGGCACATCGGGAAGGTGGCTGTTTACGAACCAGGAAAGGAACCCTCACTGCTCACCAAATCTGCCAGCACCTGGACCTCAGACACCTCAGCCTCCAGAACTGTGAGAAATAAGTGTTTGCTGTTTAAGCCCCCAGTCTCTGGCAGTTTGCTATGGCAGCCTGAATGGACTGAAACCCTGGGCTTGTTTGCCCGCTAAGTCCTCACGCACAAGTGAAGCACCTTCTAAGGGTGCTGGTGGTGCTAACTGCTGCTTTTAAGAAAGAACTAGCTGAAACCGGTAGATAGAGCATCATCTGCAGACTGAAAGGTCCCGGGTTCGATTCCAGTCAAGGGCATGTACATTGGTTGCAGGCACATCCACGGTGGGGGGGGGGGGGTGCAGGAGGCAGCTGGTCGATGTATTTCTCTCATCGATGTTTCTGGCTCTCTATCCCTCTCCCTTCCTCTCTGTGAAAAATCAATTAAAAATATATTTAAAGAAAAGAAAAGAAAGAAAGAACTAAACTAAGATGTCAGAGAGCCCATGTCTCTCCAAGGAACTCTCCCAGGTCCAGGTCTGTAGCCTACATTGCTGTAACACTTCAGCGTCCCACCAAATGAGACCCCCAGCTGTCTGCATTTCCCCTTTCTGCTGTTTCATTTCCACTCGTGGGAATTCAAGTTTCTCAATGACAAGAAAGGGGAGGACGAGGTGGTTCCTGATGACCATCTTTTGTCACCACAACGATGTCCCAGAATAGTCCTGGGTAAGATTGAACCTCCTTTAACCCTTGAACTCCATCAAAGAACATCTTTCCTAAAACGCTGGACTGAGCACCTCCTAACCACATGATCACTGAATCTCAGTTCTCTTGTTCCGGAAGTTAGGTCCCCTATTCTGTACTGTTCAAAGATGACTCTGGAACAGAACAAGAACATCAGCCCAGGTAATAAATAAAATGGGTTGAAGAGATAGGAAGGACAGAACCATGTATCTCTCCATCATCTTGATATTTTCTGAAAGGAAGCATCCCTGGAGGCCTTCAATCAGGGTAATCTGAAAAAACTAAGGTCAGGCAGGGCCTCCTTGAAAACTCCCAGACTTGTCCACTGCATTCTGAAGTGAGGAGACAGCTGGTGACTATTTCTTTCATTGGTCGCCCTCACCATATCTTTCCCAGAGGCCAACATGATTTCCCAGACAAGAACCTGGGCAGGTGACAGTGGGTATGCCATGGAGCCAAGAGATAAAGTATGATGCTTTGTTTCATCAGACCACTTCCAATCCAACCAAAATTTTTATTCCACACAGGCAATTTGGTACCCAGAAACTTTAGATTCAAAGGTGATAAAGATCAAAATCCTCCCTTGCCTTCCACATGGAACAACCAAGGAAGCGTGGCAATGTTTTCATTAGAATCAGAAACCATGTTCCACCCTCCTTTCTGAAACTTCCAGATGTTGTCATCATAAATCCCATTCAAATGCCAAGCCAGGAGAAAAGTCTTCCTTTGTCATTATGGACAGCACACTTGTTTGAAACGCTCCTCTGTTTTTGAATGGGAATCTGTCTCTTTATAAAACTCACCCGTTTGTCTCTCTCTTTCTACCCTCAGAGGCCACATAGAATATATCTGCTCTTTTCAACATGGCTGCTCTTCAGACACCAGAAAAGAAGTTCATCCCCCTGCAAGTCTTCTCTTTCCAAGAGAGGGCGGCCTTCCAGGCCCTCTGTGCATCCAGAGACCTGCCCCTGGGTTCCCGCCAGCCTGACTCTCTCCTTTAGACCCACTTCCATACACTAAAAGTCCCCATTCCCCAGATAAGTTGTAACACCGTAGCCTAGATTTCCTGCTGGGCTGAAACACTTTCCAAAAATTGTGGGAATTTGTTATGGCTGTGGCTGCTAAGCCCACAAAACCCAGATCCCAATCTCTCACTGGAACAGCCCAAGAACATGTTCAAATCATCCTCTGACTGGACATCATCCCTGAGATGAATCACCAGTTTCCCTCATTGTTGCAATAAGCCAACATTTGATGAGCCAGACACTACCCCTAAGGAAGCCCTTTGCCCCGAGTGTGGGAACCTGAGGGTGAAGGCAGCCTTGAACATCCCATCCCAGGGCCCAGGTGACTACTTTCACTTGACACAAAGCGAGACCAGACCAGGTAAGCATCTGCCTTAGGATTGCTAGCAAAGGGTCATCTGCAAGGGCTTAACCTCCAGATTCCTTCACTAGAGTTAACCCGAGGACCCCACCCTCAGCACTCCAAGCCAGCTCTGCCTGCCAGCAGCCTGCTCTGGCCAATCCCTCACCCGCCACACCCACACTTCCACTGGGTGTGCTTTCTCCTGATTACCACAGCACTTGTTGTGTCAACACACAGTCCCCATCATAGTCCCTATTGCAGGGCTCTATCTGTGTGTCCCTGCTTCATCCCTGAGACTGGGAGTTCCTTAACCCCTGAGTCTTAATTAGCTATGTCTGCAATCCTAGCATGGAACCTGGCACAAAGTAGGCACTCATGTAGGATGAGAGGTCGAAATAAACTGATGCTTTGGCTCACTTTGTCATGCCTGCTCTATCTCCAGTGAGAAAGGTGGGCATTGAGCATCCTTCCCTTTGGGTGGGAGTCAACCTATATTCCTTCACTGTCTCCATCATGGTGGAATGACAGTGGGTGGTGAACGGGGCAGTTAAAAGCATGGGGTCCTCCATTTGATCCCTTCCTGTGTCCATACTCTTCTCCTTCCTGACTAGAGAACATGCTCCAAACCTCAGCTCATCGCCACCAACCTGTCTCGCCGACAGGAACTGGGAGAAGAGCCCAACTGAATGGGGGAAACCCATCCCACCCCATGAATAGCAAAAAGGCAGCACACTGATCCTGTCTCTGATTAGGTTTAGCAGCAAAGTCTCTCTTGACTGTTTTCATTACACCCCAGGACAAGAGGCCCAGCCTGCTCTGTGCAAACCACAGTGCAGAGTCCAGAGAGGCCCGGACTAATGCACAACGTCACACGACGATTCCGGGAAAGTCAGACAGCTCTCTGAGCAACCAGGTCTCTGTTCCTGGGCTCAGAGCTTTCCCAAGCTCACACAGTCCCTGCCAACAACTCGTCCCCAACGGAGCAGGCAATGCTGCTGACAGTGGTACCAGCTTACTCCTCCATGGTTTCCATGGTGAGAAGGGCAGTGTGTAGGCTCACAACTGTGGCAATCAAGAGCCGAGGCTCCAGCTCTTCAGTTCCTCTCTCTCTCATGTCCCACACAGCTCCTTCCACATCCTTCAAGGCCAGAACAGAAAAGGGTGCTCTTACCAGCTAAGATGAAGATGCCCACGAGAATCAGGAACACCAGCAGGTAGAGCCCGAGGACAGCATGCTTCAGGGCCGACAGGGAGCCCAGCTGGGTGCAGCAGCCACCTGCCCGTCGCTTGTGGCATGGACCTAGACAAGGAGAGGAGGAAAAGGAAAAGGAAAAAGACACATGAGAACCTTGTAAGCTTTTTCTCTCCTCAGTCTTGTCTCTCCGCGGGGCGCGCAGATGTTCCCGTGGAGAAGCCTCGCACATCTGTAATGCATCTGTAACCATGAGGAGCTTTTCAGAACCATGACAAGCTTTCGACTCCCAGCTCCCCTCCCGCCCCCTGTGCTCTTATAAAATGGTTTTTATTACAGCCTGCATTCAATATTATTTTGTATTAGTTGCAGGTGTGCATCGTCGTGGTCAACCGTGCACTTCCCATAATGCTCCCCTCATGTTCCCAGTTGGCACCGTATATGGTTATGACAATATTATTGACTGTATTTCCTGTAAAGTATGCTGTGCTTTACATCCCCATGCCTATTTTGTAACTACCAAGTTGTATGTCTTAATCCCCTCACCTTTTTCACCCAGTCCTTAACATCTCTCCTCTATGGTTATCATGAGCCATTCCTCTGTGTCTATGAGTCTGCTTCAATTTGGTTTGTTCCCTGATTTTGTCCTTTAGATTCTACATGTAAGTAAAACCATAGGGCCACTCCCTGAGCTCTTGAACATGTCAGACAGGCACGTCCTCTGTTCATGTGCCCACAAATCCCACTTCTTAGAGCCAGACCTAGCAGCAGAAAAAGCTCCAATAGGCTGGAGTCCATGTCCTTTACGTGACATTGTCCCATGTGATCTGGAGAATATGGAGAGAATTTAAAAACAGGGTTGCAAACTTCAACCTCGACAGTGGCCGGGAAGGGATGGAAATGAGCCAAGTAGGCCAGGTGGGCCCGGGAAATCCGACGGCGCATGCCTGGTGTGGAAGAGGTTTCGGTGTAAGAATGAAGGCTGACTGTTTCCAGATTTTCAAGACAAGTCAGAAGTCATTTAGAGAAAGCGTCCTGTTTTTAAGTGTGAACAACTCATTTAAAACAACAACAAGTGAGACAAAAAGTATAAAACACCAGGGAGTATAAACCAAACACATTAGCATGCTGGATCTGACCGCCGGTTTGCAACCTTGAGTTTAGATTTACAGGAAAACGTAATAACTTCATCCTGTGAAGCTACCCAAGGCTCACCAGCTTCTGGCCCAAATGGAACAGCAACATATCAGTGCTCTACTGGACTTTATGCATTTAGTCCAACCCCTTAAATAATAACACAAATAGAGGATGTCGAATGTTCGTGGTAAACAGAGACCCAGGTGCTCTGGCTTCTGGTCATGTTCAGCTGGACTTCTCGTTTGAGTCACTTCTCTCACTGCCATGCAGAGGCCAGGACGCTCAGTAACCTTCGCCCGCTAACCTTCAACTGACTGTGGAAAGGAAGGGATGCTCACCCACCTTGATCCCCGGCAGGACATGTAAAGAAGCATTGGAGGGCGTTTTTCAAAACATGCATGCCCTGTCATGCTTATTCTCAAAGTTAGCACCTGGTGTGGGTGGTGTCTGGAGGACGGTGTGGAGCAGAGAAAGGTTGACAACCAGATGTTGAAATAATTGATATTCAGGAGATGTTTTAAAAGGTGGTGTGAGGTTTATAAATCCTTGGTGACTCTGGGTTTGCAAGGGCAGTGTGTGGGGACTACTTATTACCTCTTAGCACCTTTGTGGCCTCCAGAGGTTGGAGGGGAAATGTTGGTGACTAATTTGGGGCCCTGTCTCCCCAGAACTATTGTTAGGTGAGGAACATTTTCTCATTCGTTTAACCCATTTTATTGAAAGCACTGCTGTTATAACAGCTGAGTAGACAATGATCGCATGATGTTTCCATAAAACATTGGGTACAATTTCGAACCAGTTGTCAAGCAATACAAATTCTCGTCAGCCCTTAAATATTGGCAGTTTTTGAAAAGTTAACCTGATTTTCCACTAAGACTGGCACAGAGTACAGCTTTCTAACTTGTCCTAAATCTTCATTTCCAGAATTTTTCATCCCTTTTCATGCACTAGGATCTATAACCTGTTTCACTCCTAAATATGTGGGCTTCTTATATTATTCTCTCTCTCTCTCTCTCTCTCTCTCTCTCTCTCTCTCTCTCTCTCTCTCTCTCTCTCTCTCCCTCTCTCTCTTCTCTGTCTGTCTTTCTTGTGAAAGTTGCTGGCTATCTGGTTGCAACATATTAAAGTCTGTTTCCTTTGAGAGTCAGAATGGTAGGCATAGTATTGAATATTATACAAATAGTAGAGACCTGTGAGGATCATGCCAAAATAGGCTCTCCAACATCCCCTGAGGGCTGCCAGATTGTGAGAGAGTGCAGGCCAGGCCAAGGGTCCCCACTGGTACACGGGGCTGGGGAGGAACATTGGGAGGGCTCCAGGGCATGTCCAGCCCATCTCATTCAGTCCCGATCGGCTGGACTGGCAGCAAGCTAACTATACCAGTCAGAGCGTCTACTCCCTGGTGGTCATTGCACATCATAGTGTCAGGTCAAACAGTAAACAGTTGGACATTTAGCATATTAGGCTTTTATTATATAGGATGAGTTATCATGAAGGCTGGTCCTGCTCTCCTGCTCTAAGCTCAGCTTCCTCTTTAGATGATGATGAGAATGATGGCAGAGAACTGCTAGGATGGGTCAGAAGATACCCTAGCTGAAATGTATTATTCATATATTATACTTATCCCAACCACTATGGGCTTCTCCACTCATTTGCTTTCTTTGACCTCTTCTTATTTCCTCTGGAGGTTTAATTAAGTTAAACTATATTCTGTTAACTGTTTCAGTTATGGCAAAATCTTGTTTTTCTGGTTCATTATAATAAGAAGTTATTCTCTCTCTCTCTCAAAAAAAAGTTGATATATTTTTTACATGCAATGTTTTTATTGGGACACAGGCACTCTAATTTGCCTGAACTTGAGACAGTCATCCAATAAACTGAATGTTAATTCAGTTAAGGAGTAAGTGCAAACAATATACATTCTCAGCTTGACTACATCACAATTTATAAAGTGCCAGATTAGTGCTAATTGTCATTCAGCTTGAAATTTTTCACCAAAAAGTAAGGCCCTCTTCATTCCTTTAGGAATGAAAACATTTTCCTAAGCCAGTCAGTTACAAGGGCAAGGACTAGTTTTTTTCTTTAATCCCACATATTAGAACACCATCCTTTTATTTAAAGTCTGTCAGAACAGGAAGAGGAAAATCACACCGCCAACAATGCTGCTAACTTGAACCTTGCCTTTGAGCTCTGCACGTGCGTTGCTAGCTCACTGTAAGGAGGTGGGGGGAGGGGCGAAACGCAGGCGCAATGGCCTGGCTCCCTTTCATTCCCATCAAAAAAGAGGACTTCCCTTCCCCTCTCCCTATAGCTTCAATTTAATAGAAAGCACCCTCTGGTGACAGATCCATTCGTCAACTAACACACACCAACCACTCAGACCTTCCTGAGAGCGCTTTGTTCTTTTAGCAAGACTCGCTTACATTCTATATTAAACAAAAATCCATTTTCAATAGAACATAATTAGGGTTTCAAATGGAGATTTTCCACAACTCGTTAGACAAGCAGAACATGAAGGGTTCTGGCAAGATAGCTAGAGAATATGGCTGTATGGGAAAGACAAGCTACTAAGTCTGCCCAAAACACATGTATTGACTTTTTAATTTAACATGGCAGGCAGCATGTTAGCTGGGTAAGCCATTCAAATTATTTAAGCCGAGTGGAAGATTAAAAACACTCCAAAATAATACGATCGGTAAAACCAGAGCAAAAAGCATACTCGCTCATTTTTAAACAAAAAAAAAAAAAAAAAAAGTAAAAGAAATGAGCCATCAATCTGTGAATAAACACGGAGGAACCTGAAATGTCTATTGCTTAGTGAAAGAAGCCAATTTGCAAAGGCCAGATCCTGTTGGAGTCCAGCTGTATGACATCCTGGAAAAGGCAAAACTATGGAGACAGTGATAAGAGAGTGGCTGCCAGGGCTTGGGAGCAGGGAAGGCTGAACAGGTGGAGCACAGAGGACGTCTTAGTTCAGGGAAACTATTCTGTATGAGACGCTAATAATGCACACACGTCACTGTACATTTGTGCAAACCCACAGAATGTCCGACACCATGAGTAGATCCTTATGTAAACTATGGACTTTGGGTGAGAATGACATGTCAATGCAGGTTCATACACTGTAACCACTGTGCTGAAAGATGCTGATAGTTGGGGAGGCTGTGCCTGTGTGGGGGTGTGGGGTATATGGGAACTTCTTGTACTTTTTACTAATTTGGATGTAAACATGAAACTGCTCTAAAAATCATATATATATATATATATATATATATATATATATATATATATATATATATATATATTTGATTCTAATGATCTAACAAGCGTTTATTGAACACCCACAACCTAGTCCCCTACAGTGGAAGGCAGCCTTCAAGGGCTCTGGATGACCCCTGACCCCTGTGTCATCTCCTTCTGCATCACACCAGGACTGGTTTGTGTGACCCATGGACACAAACAATGGTAACGGTAGTAGAAGCGATGATGGGTTGCTTCTGAGATTAGACAAAAGACATGGCAACTTCCTTTTTGCTTACTCTTTCTCTTTCTTGGAACAATTATTTGGAGGGAGGCCAGCCGCTCTGCTATAAACACCCTGAGGAGAGGCTACATGATAAGAAATGGAGGCCTTCGGCCAACGGCCATCCGAGTGAGCCTGGAAGCAGACATCGCAGCCAAATCAAGCCTTCGGATGGCTCCGCCCTGGCCGAACTCTTGACAGCAGTCCAATGAGAGACGCTGAGCCAGAATTACCTGCCTAAGCTGCTCCCAGACTCCTGCCAGATTGCATTACACATAAATAGGTTTCCGAGCAAAATTCTGATGTAAAAAATTAAACAAAATTGTGACTTTCCTTGCACACCTGTGGATTCCTCAGAAACTGGGTGAGGTGATACATTTTTGTTGTTTGAAGCCTCTTGGTCATTTGTTATTCAGCAATTGATAGCCAATACAATTATGTTAGATGT